TTTTGGTCTGTTCGCAGATGAAGTGAACTCGTAACCGCTTCAAATCTAGCACATACGTATGATACTTCATTAATTGTCTCAGAAATTATTGTTCCTTCGTTTCCATACCGGTTACTCTCTATTTTTTTTCTCTCTTATTTGATCTTCTTAACATTCTGCAACTGTGTGTTTTTCTTATTTTCGATCGATGTTACATACTACTTATATCTTTCGATATAAGTATCAAACAAAACAATCCGGGTTTACTTCCATCAATCACAATAGAGTTCCTTACCATTATAATAATAATAAACATTTAGAGTAAACATTATCTACTGCATAAACAACTGGTCATAACGGGAAAACAATTATTGAGACAAATCAAAGATATGTCAAATATCATTTCAATATAGAAGAAGAAAAGAACCAAAAGGGGGACAGTATTATTCATTATTAAATGTAATCAACAAATTGATCAATATGAAAACTAAAAAAAACACAAGAAAATTGATCAGTTTCTCTAGTCAATTGTTGTTATTGATTGAGATCATGATGTTGAAAACCTGGAAAACACTGGACGACTGTTTCGTCCTAATGTAGGACTCTTCAAGAATGTCCATCCATGCTCCCGTCCATGGGATTGTTGATGTTGTCATTGTTTTTTCATTCTTTTTTTTGAGAAAATAAATTTCAGAATGAGAATATGTGAAAATTGTAATGATTTTATTGGTTGAATTCGTGAATTGATCTAAGCTAGATCACTATTGAAAACGTAGAAGACACTGAATGACCATTTAGTTTTAGTATAAGACTCTTCAATATTGCGTAATCACGATCACACACATGAGACTCGAAACCAAGAACATTGATCTTGCGGGAAAACATTTAACTTCTAGATCAGTGAATCAGTATCCAGCAGTCGTTCAAACGGTCTTCCAACTTCATGTATATTTGTAGATTGTTACCGTTGAGATGAGATTTAATCACTCGAAATTGCATTATACATCTTCTCTATTCTACAATGATTGTCTTCATTAACTCAGTTTAATAGATATGTTCATTATGTTCATTATGATTTTATATTTTTTTCATCACTGACTGGTGTTAGTTCTAATGCCGTTGGAAACCAAGAAACACTGAATATCTGTGTCTTTTTAGCATGGGACTCCTGAGAAGTGATGATTTACTACTCTACCACAGAAATTCAAACCCATGACCTTAGGTTGTGAGCATAAGCACATAACCTCCAAATCTAATTTTGTTCATGTTAAGTTTCAATCAGTTTGTGATAGTGGTGACCAGTCTCTATTGTTTGTGGTAGATACTTATCTTTCACCTGAAATGATCGAAATCCACTGAATAAATCTTCTCACTAAAACTCCTAGAATTGAGTCTAGAAGTTAGTTAACAGTAATTACACGTAGAAGAATTCATAATCTCAACAGAAAACCTATATTAAAAATACCTGTTACAGTGACTCAATCTTACCTCATTGTAGTCAGTCTTTGTTTAAGTGAAGATGACTGTTTCTTGTATTTCTTCATTTGTTCTCATCATTATAGATCACCAACGTAAATGATATATGTCGAATGATTGGAAGCCAACTGGAGTTGGACGAGAATGGTGTGACGAAGCAACTAATTTCGAAGTCACACCTTGCGGTCAACATCTCGCCTGGATTACCCTTTCGATGTATCAAAGTACTATGGCCACAAAAAGGACGTTACTACAGTAATATATTAGTAAGAATGAGTACAGAGAACAGAGTTAGACCACCATCGCATGGGTCAGTTCATGGCATGCGATTGACTGATGCGCATGGGTTGTCCTTGACCTTGACGAGAATCGATGATCTGTTCGATAATCAGTGACCCAAATGCCGGATGATTTGGCTAGCGCTCATTGACATTTCACTGGCCCTTCACCATTTATTTTCCAGTATGAATGTTTCAGTCTTTTTTTTTCAAGGAAAAAAATATGTTTATTCTGTAATTTTGCATTTTAAAAAAAATAGTGATTTGCATTTCGACAACAAACTGAGTGGCAAGACTGTATAATTTATGAACGAACCAATCAGATTTATGAGGACAGATCTTGGATTTTGGTGCGAAGTTCATTCATCCATTTGGTTAAATAGCATCTTGGCATTTTAGCTTATGTTAGTTCATGATGTAAACTTTAAATCTATTCCATATCCCTAACCATCCTTATCCTTCACGGAGATTTATAACCCTCATTTAGTTCCAGTGAGTAGGTGAACATTCTCAAGTCCATTTAAGCGTCGTGTCACTTCTTTCCTGTAGTCTATGTCATGCTCTATGCCAAGATGTCGTGTTTGCGGCGCGATGACTTTCACAGCTCGGTTGATCTTCCAGGCCATCAAAATTCAACATACACCCAGCACCTGGGACGTTCACAACCTGCGCTCCAGCAACCTCCCGAGCCATCTACATCCGATATCCGCCCAGCAGTCGTACATCACGCCGCTCATCTTCGTTGATAGCACTCTCTCAGACAACGTCACTCCTTCGGACCTATCCACTCGATGTTACCTATCCATACCAGACCGCATCAACTAACACCTTAGACCCAGACCAGTGACGGCATTATATTCAAGACTTGAATTTGATAGTTTAATTTAAATGCTTCAAAAATATCCCCCTAAGTAAAACAAACACTTCAAATCTATTAAAACAAATAAAAAAAATTTATGATTAACTTCATGCTCTAGGGGGTTGTACAAGGAAGTACTACAATATTGTATTATTACCATCATCTACCAATGTTTTAGTAAACAGTTATACAATGACTGACTTATATGCCCGGTCCTATGTTGCAGCTGACTGACTGACTATATAATGAAAATCATGACTTCTATTATGTACCACTGAACAACACACAAACACATACATACGCAAACTTTACTGTTTACATAATTTATTACCAATCAATGAGTGTTTACATTAAGTGAATTGATGAAGTGATGTCTAGAAGTTATTTATCAAAAATGGTCCAAAAAGAATGCAAACTATCTTGAGTGTTCTTGAATAGAAAAACAAATCTATGCATAATAATCAATAATATTGTAATGAACGAGAACATCAATAGGTGACAATCAAATATGTTTGAATAGAACATGAAAGCATCCCTTGGTAAAATCTGAGAACTATACAGTACAATACTTTATTTGCGAAATTGTAAATCAATTGTCTCGAACATTGGTGTTTATTCGTTTCCATACCAATCACTCTTTATTCTCATTCACTTTTCTTTGATCTTCTTAACCTTCTACCTCCAGGTATTTCAATTTCGATTGATGATATATACTACTTATATCTATCGACATCTGTAGCATACATCATACTTGTCTCCCCCTTTAAAGCGGTGGTTTTACACGTCGTTCCACTTCTTTCTTGCAGTTTGTCTTGGTATTGCCTTAAGTCACAAGCATTCTAAGAAAAAATGGATAATGGCTAGTAGTAGAATCCAGGACGTGTGTTTCGTCCTAATTTTGAAACACGCCAGTTTTATGTAGCTGAATCACAGAGTTGATCTTAATTCCATGACTCGAACCCAGTATCGTTCTATTCAAAACACCATCGCTAGTTAATGTATTTAATTACTATTTTAAAGAAAAACGTTAACTGAATTCAGACAAAGATGTGTATCAGCATCTCGTAGAGTATGCTAACTCTGTGACTCGAACTCAGTAATGTTCGCTCTAAATGCTCACGTGTTATACATTTACATACTGAGTCGTGATAGACACCTACTTGTGCAAACTTATGAAATTTTAAATTAGCTTGGTATTGTTTTCACAATTGATTGATCATTGTATGGTGATCAATGTCATACGTGTCGAGTCCTTATTTAGTGCAGATCGAATGCCATCGACCATTTTGCAATGTGGCTGCCAGTCTAGGTGAATCGACACTGCGTGCACTATATATTGAGACTAGATGGTGGTTGGAGGTAGTCGACAGGAAACCCTGGAACTGGGTTTCGTGCTACTTGGCACTCGTCAGCAAGGTGTACCTGTTATCTTGATGGAACTGTTGCTATCTGGCAGGTTTGATCCCGTGTCACCTAGTTTCACAATCAGAGACGTTACCACTGGGCTATCTGGACTGAGATGTAATCACAATTGATTGATCACTGTATGGTAATCAATGTCATGTGTTGAATTCTTCTTAGTGCAGATCGAATGCTATTGACCAACACGAGATAGAATCCGTCAGGGAGCACCAATTCCCACAAGATTGCAGGTACACATTGTTGACCAGTGCCAAGTAGCACGAAATACGTGTCCAGGGTTTCCTGTCGACTACCTTCAACGACCATCTAATCTCGGTATTGTTTGTTTGTACCTTACCATTGTTGTAAAGTTCTGTTATTGACCAGTCTCTAATTGGTATATATGTGCATTCACTACGAATTGCCTCGATATTGCCTTAAGTCACAATGATTCTAAGCAAAGATGAATAGTGGCTAAACAATGGAATCATCTCGTTTGAAATATCATCAGCTAGATATACCTACACTTCACAGTTAATGCTCACTCTAGGAGTCGAACCAAGTACTGTTCGTTCCAGGACAATATCAGTTTATCTATTTAACTACTGATTCTTGATAATCACTGACTTATAAAAAGAAATTCAACTCAACAATGCCAAATAAATTTACATAACATATGATCTTACATGTTTTCTTTTCCATTACAAAAAAAACCCCAGCTACTCAATGTATTTCACTACTATTTTAAGAAGAATAAAAAAACCAAAAAAACAAATTTATCTAAGTTCAGACCAAAATGTATACTCTCCCTCTCCTTTTCCCTCCCCCTCTCTTTCTCTCTTTCATATTCATATACATACTACATACCATAGTAACACGATACATATTGAATTGATTGTCACATCGATGTACTACAATGCATAAATTCATTGAAACTTCATTGTGTTCGTTTCTAAGTGGTTCTTTACAAATCATATGATACTAAGTAGTAGTAAGTAGTAGTAGTAGTAAGTAGTATGTATTAGCAAGTAGTAATGATAGAACGAATTGAATAAAATATATAAATATCCATTTCAATAAAGTGATATTTATTGTTTCCATATAAAATTTGGGGATATTTATTTAATTGATTCTATTGTTCTATGTAATATAATATACATATACATATATTGAATTAGCATAGTGATTAAACATACCTGGCAACAAAAACACCAAAATAAAAGAAAACGTATCCCATAGTAAATGCCCCTATTTAAATTAATAATACCAACAATAAATCAAAATAAAAAATGTGAAAATATATTTCGTTGGTTTGTTAAAGATTCTATGAATGATATAACATATGAACAATTAAATGAGAGAATACAAAGTATATTCTATAAATTGGATACTTATAATAATAGTAATGATTTAATGAAAGAGTTTCAAGTATTATGGTATGGTAAGTTGATATTGTTCATGATAGATTCATCTAATCACTATGGTTACATAGATACATATATTAGATATGTATCTAAGTAATGTATGATTTAAGAAATGGAACTACCCTAAGTCCCCCTTCCCTCTTCGAGTGGAGCTATTTAGTTGGGATGTATTTAAAAGGTCTTATTCTTGCACTTACATAAACATGTACTGATATTATGCCTTGATATGGCTGAGGGTGCGGAGAGTCAGCTCTCCTTCATGAAATGTTTTTAGTATGGGCATGTCGTTTTGTCGTTGTTTTGATTGAACGATATTGTCGAAAGGGCTCTCTACTTTAGTGGCCCAAGTTCTGACTTTAGTTCGATCATATGAATGATTGTTATTGAAATATATATGTTGCCTGTCTTCGTATATAATTATCGACTTTAATCGCGTTAGTCAATAACGTAATTAAATAAGTCAAATAACGAGAATGGACTTTCCAATACATAAATTTTGTATATGAAATGACTGGAATAGAACAAAACAAAACGACGCGCATTGGAGATGGATGGTAAGCCAACACCCATTTAACCAAACGTTAATCAATATTTATAGTTACACAAAAATAGGTTACAGACATGTGATGAGTAATGGGATAAGAGGTGTATGCATCCCTAGGCACTCATATAAAACCAGTCAAGACTAATAAGCGAATAAATAACAAGGTCAGAATGTGACTCATGTAGAATGAATAGAATGCGCTATCCGAAAGCTAGAATAAGGTATATGGACTTAACATAATAACTGACACTACATGCTCTCACATGGCCATGTGTACACAGCCACTACCACGAAAGTCTTACTCATCATCTTCTCGTCACTGGAGTATTGTTTAAGAAATTGAGAAAACAAAAAGTAAATATCCAGTGCTTTAACTGGGTTAGTGGATATGGAGCATTCACACTGATTCCAAACAAATGTTGCAGATGGGCTCTAAGATCCTGAAGAAATAAAATGTATGAATCAATCATTGGTCATCGGCTACCATGGGACTGCATCTCCTCACGTCGCTCCACTGATTTGTGGATCAGACTTTTAGGTCTAAGGCTATTAATGTAGCGCCCTGATTCAGTCTGGGTACCCAGGCATTATAACAGCCCTCACACAAATCAACTGACTTGTGTAACGTATATGTATAAGGTGCTCCTTTGTACCAATATGTATGTGTTCAGATAAATAATAAAAATGGTAGGGTTAAGGAGTTACAAAGATATTAGTTGTATCAACCATATTCACTATAATAAAGTAGATGATGAAAAATTACTGTTTCTCTGTATAGTTGAAACATTTAAGATCTTGAGATGGTAGAGAAGATTTGTGGATGACTTTCATGAAGTTCTGTTCTCAAAACTAACAATAAGAAACGATCAACATCGTGGTTTATAGGAGAAGTTGTGAACTATATGTGGAGAAATTCGAACATTTTACTTCTAACTGAAGTTTGTATTGATGACTTCGTTTAAAAGAACGATGAAAGTTCCATGACTAAACCATTCAGTCTAGAGGACAAAACTTCATCAAAAACATTGAGGATCAACTATAAAAAAATGAATTCTGGACTTAACTAGCTGTGCTAGGCAGGAAACAGGGCCAATCAGAACTCTAGGTTGCTCGCACTTGTTTTACGCGTCTTTTATCCGATCGATAAGTTACTGCTCTCTAATCGGCGGTCACAATTTATAACAGAAATATAAGTAAGTTGGTGTGATAGACAAATCCTAATGATCGATTACGTAATGTAAATAATGACGATAAAGAATTACTGACTTACTTACTCACTTACACCTGTTACTCCCAATGGAGAATAGGCGCCGACCAGCATTCTCCATCCCACTCTGTACTGGGCCCCTTTTTGTAGTTCTATCCAATTGTTCTTCATTCTTCTCACGTCTGTCTCCATTCCTCAGGGTAATGTGTTCTTTGGTCTTCCTCTTCTCCTATGGCCTTGGGGATTTCATGTGAGGGCTTTCCTTGTGACACAGTTGGTTCCTTTCCTCAATGTGTGTGCCCTATCCAATTACAGCTCTGCTTCCTGATTTCTTCACCTGCTGAGACCTGCTTTGTTCTCTCCCACAGTCGGTTGTTGTTAATAATGTCTAACCTAACGGATCCGAAGTATTTTGAGTACACAACTGTTAATAAGCGCTTGTATCTTCTGGTTGATGTCTTTCGTAGTTCTACAAGTTTCCGCCCTATAGAGTAGAACTCTCTTGACATTTGTATTGAAAATTCTCACATTAGTGTTGATTGACAGACAGTTGTTTTGAGTTCCAGATGTTGTTCAGTTGTACTTATGCTGCTCTTACTTTGCCAATCAATGCCTTCACATCTGCATCGGATCCACCGTGTTCATCGGTGGATTAATAGCAAATGAATTTAATCACATTGTTCGAGATGAGCTTCAGATGATCAATAGGACTTGTAATCACCTATGACTATTTCATTTAATTCAACATACTGAAGTGTAAATTTCATCAAACACTCCATTTTAAGAGTTTAAAGTTATTATCATCTAACCTTCTATGAATCGATCAGTTTAGTTGAATCTAATATATTGAATTAAGAAAACAGTAACATAGTGAAATTTACAACATCAAATGTAATCTTCCGTCAAAACTATACTGTAATATACCGTATTCACGTACCAAACAAAAACGGGAAGAAATTGAAAATACCGAATTCAACAGACATATTAAACGAGTGAAACTTTATAAGCAAAGACGGATGGTGTTTAGTGGTGGGATTTAAGACACTCATTTCGTGCTAATTTGAAACTTACCAACCTGATATACCTGCATCACAGAGATGATTTTCACTCCAAGGCTCGAACCCAGTACCATTCACTCCAGATGTCATCGTGTTATACATTTAACTACTGAGTCATGATAACCACCTCATTGTGCAATGTGAAGTTTTAAATTCATTTGATATTATTGTCTTGTATCTTTCTATGGATGTTTAAGACTGCAATTGATCAGTCTCTTATTGATATATATGCATACTGTGGGTATTAACTTGATGTTATTTTAATGTGCAAGCATTATAAGCAAAGATGGATAATGGCTAGTAGTGGAATCCAAAATGCGTGTTTCGTTCTATTCGGTATTCATCAGCTGGATGTACCTACATCTCAGTGTTGATGTTCACTCTGGAACAAGTGAATTTGAACATTGTAAATAGTCTTAGATACAATTATGGTTTAGTTCGTTGGTTCCAATTACGTACACCTATTCTTTACTAAAGAAATTTCTTCTTGTTCTGCATTTATCCCGGAAACATTGATAAAATCTGGACTGAAATGGAAAGATTGATTGATTGAATAAGAACAAATCGAACATAGTTTCATTGATTGGTATAATAGTATTAGATGACTTTAACAAAACTCCTCAATAGTGAGCAAAAACGATCGAGCACGTAGGATTCGAACCAAAGATCGCTGGTCTCGTGAGTGATTGCTTGACCTCTAGACCACTGAGCAGCGATTCAACAATGGTAATGTATAAATTCAATCAGTTTCGAATGCAAGATCGTACATGCATACTGTTGAGGAGTCCCATATTGAGACGAAACGATCATCTAAAGATTCTAGGTTTTCAATGATCGGTTAGCATAGATCGACTCACAAATTCAACTCTTATAATGCTAAAATCTTTACAAATCTCCACAAAATGTAAACCTTCTCGTTCAGTACTTAAAAATTTACAATTAAGATCAGCAAATGAGCTAAGTAACATTTTAATCGTCTATGAAATCAATTAATTCAAGCATTTCTTGTAATGTTACATTACTAAGGTCAGTATGAAATGAAAGCTTAACTATTCATATAACTAGAACCATGTTTCCATGTTACTACAATTAACTTATTCCACATTTCAAACAGAGAAGACCCTGTTACATGTTTCAAATAATATTCACTTTTGATCGGTGCGGTATGGCAAGACATGATCAAGACCATTATTATTGGTACTAAATTATTGAATTTTATGACGATAATGATTAGACGATCGATGAAAATGTGGAAAGATTTGACAACTACTTTGTCGCAGTATGAGACTACATGTCGGTGTGAATTCACGAATCTAGGACCTTCAGTCTTATATAAGAACGTTTAAATTCTAGACTAATAAGCCAGAGTATAAAATGGAAAATAACTCAATGAAGACAACAGAGGATGGTCACCCAGTATAGAGAGTTGATTGATTAAAGCTATAAATATACAATAATGACCTTCAACTCAGTAGTCTCGAGATTGAGCTCCACGACCAAACCATCCGGCTCAGAGAACAAAACTCCACCAAAATCATCAATCTGAGCTACAAATCTTCTCCACCATTAAGCTTATGGTCCCGGAGACCAAAAATCCTGGGTTTGCATTCCTGTGATACAATCGTATATGCTCACTTCTCAGTAGTCCCATACTGAAAGGACACAGATATCCAGTGTTTCTTGGTTTCCCATGACATTAGAACTAACAATAGTCAGTGATGGAAAAACTATGAAATCATGCTTACCCAATCCAATTATGAACATAATTAACAATATCTATTTGCAGTTTACCTAATAAACTAAGTTGATGAAGACAATCATTGTAGAGTAGAGATGGATTATAATGCAGTTTTCAGTGATTATATCTCATCTCAACAGTAACCAACCATAAATATAAATGAAATTGAGTTAAGAATCTACTGGTTAGTTAACATCATATATCTCATCATAACTGACGGTTTGAAATGTTTTGTTCTTGGAAAACGAGGTGGATCGAGTGATTGTATACAGACAAGATGCCGATATATTAACAATGAGTGATTGAATCTTGAACTGCAATATCAACAATGGAATAATTCATAGTATAAAGATGGTACAAGTGACTTGTTATTAGATCCCAGTAACTCGATGAATGAACGAAATTCTTTACGTGTGTTTGGTAGTGTGAAAATCAGTACTGTAGTAGAGGTGCATCTAACTGAATAGTATTGAATAGAATGAAACACATATGCATACATAATGAATATGTAATTGGAGTCGCCGCTGTCGGTAGGCGATTCAGCGGTTTAAAGTTCAAATGTTTGTGTGCTATAATAATTTTCTTATCTTTGATTGTCTATGGCAGAATCATGAATGTACATCCCTCGTAAGTTTCATCCTAGGATGAGAAAACTGTCAAATATATTCTTGTATTATTTGTTTGAATCTTCCCATTAATATTAAGGACTGCTATTAATCAATCTCATTAGCTAAGTGAAGTGTAAATCAAACAGTATTGTGTTTGAGTTTAAGGTTTACCCCCGTTCCAGTCAAACAAGTTAGTGAAGCCTAGTAGGCTTCTCTGGAGAAAAACAGGCTGCACTGAAGCACAACACAACTACCGAGGCTAGAATAGCTGTTTATGTAATCGGTTGTAGTTTACCCCATAAGGATCAACCTCATACATCCCATGAACCACTTTTGTGGATTTTTTATTCGTTTTTCGATCCAAAAGTAATTGTGCTGTGATTCTTTATGAATTTCGTAATCAATATGTAGATATCAATCGAATGGTTGATTAACGCAATATTTACCACCTGAATTACCGCTTACGTTAGTTCATAGGATTTAATCTCATTATTCAGGAGACACGATAAGGATGTTTATTTATTTATTTTAACACAAAGATATTGGTACAAGGAGGCACCAAATACATATGCGCCACACAAATCTCATGTCATATGTGTGAGAGATGTGATGCTGTCCTAATGACCAAACCGAAGCAGGTGGTTTTCTTAGGAAGCCATTCCCCGAGCCTTCGACATGAAGGTCTGATCCACAAGGCAGTGGAGCATCGTAAGGAAATGCAGTCCCATGGAAGCCAGTGACCAACGATTGGTTCGTACGCTATTTGTTCCCGCAGGATACTGGAGCCCATGTGTACTATTGGTATGGGATCCGGTTAAAGCGCCGGACATTCGCTTTTCGTCCTCTCATTTTCGTAAACAACACCCCTGCCACGAGAAGGCAGTGAGTAGGACTTCCCTGACAGAGGCTGTATACACGTGGCCATGCGCGAGCATTTGGAGAGGGAGAGCGAACTTCCCCCCACTCTCGGCCGTACCAGTGCCGAATAGGGTTTCACTTCCTGCTGAAGTCCCAAAATAAAACAAATTTCATCTATTGAATTTATTCAATTCTTTTAATTTCTAGATGGTGAAGATCTATGTCGTATTATTTCTACAGAAGATCTTCATGATGCTATACATACATTAGGTGGATTAAATGGTAATGAAAAAAGTATTAGATTTTATATAACATCAAATGATTGTGAACAATTCAAGAATCAATTAAACGAGAAAAACTCAAATGAATTACAATTACCTGATTTACCAGAAACATTAGATAAACTTGAAATTGATGAAAATGTTCAACATAGTAACACTGATTTAAATCATATAGAAACAAAATCTAATAAAAAACAATCAATAATCGATAAATCCATAGTATTCGATCAAAAATCGAATGATGATATTGATTTAGATCATCAATCTGTTTTACCTAGTGCACCAACATTAATGGATTCAACTACAATGGATTTATTATGGTCATCATTACAATTACCACAATATAATATGAATTATATGAATATACCACAAAATGTTCATGCATATACTACTTATACACCATATACACAAGGATATTATTTATATAATAAAATGAATATAAGTAAATTACCATTACCATCATCATTATCATCATCATCATTATCACTATCACCATCTCCATCTCCATCTCCATCATCATCATTGTCATTATCAACATATCTTCAATCTTATCCAATGAATAATCGTAAAAAATTGACAACTACTAATACATATAATACAATATTACAAATACCTAATTCATCATTTCATTTAAATAAACGAAATAATCCATATACAAGATCATGTATTAACTTAGCAACTAAATCTAATATTATTACTAATAATAATAATAATAATAAAAATAATGATAAACATCAAATTGATATATCAGCTATTATTATAAGATTACGTCATATGGGATTTCAACAAAGTGATATTTATTTAAGTAATATTATTAAACAATATAATGGAAATATTAATCCTATTTTAGATAGATTATCATTTGAAAATAATAAAAAATGATAATGTATCTTATTGTTTATTTATTTATTTATTAATTTGATAACTTTTCATATGAATTATAATTTGTATTCTTGAAATAAACTCATCTCTCTTTCATTATTCATGATTGTTTTTTGTTGAATTTCACTGTGTTCTTGTGGTGAATGTTCGGCGGTTTAATTGGATTCCAAATCAATGATGTATATAGGCTCCAGTATCGTGCGGGAACAAATGACGTATGAAACAATCGTTGGTCACCGACTACTATGGAACTGCATCTCCTCACGATGCTCCATTGCTCAGTGGATTAGACCTTTGGGTCAAAGGTTCGGAGTGTGGCCGCCTAAGAAAACTACCTGCTTCGGTTTAGGCAACCGGGTACTATCACAGACCACACATACACAAATATGGTGTGGCGCATATATATTTGGTGCCCTCTTGTACCGATATTTATGTGTTGAAATAAATAAGAAAGAAAGAAATTGTCGAATTTCAGGGGCTGAGATGATGAAATTAGACCATCATGGATAATTTGGAACGGTTGAATGGGTGTTACGTCCGATTGTGGAACTCGTCAATAGTGCACATCTACGATCCAGCTTACTGGATGGGAACCCAGTACCTGTTGCTGGCCGGTATCCAATAGTTTAATGTCTAACTTTATTCATTCACGAAATTGGATGACACATCCTATTATTTAGGACTCGTCATTTGGATATCCTATGTTCGATTCTTACCAACTTACTTACTTACATACTTGCACCTGTTACTCTCGATGAAGAATAGGCCGCCAAACAGCATTCTCCAACCTATACAGTAATGGGAATTTCTTTCTAGTTCGATCCGATCGTTCTTCATTCTTCTCATGTCTGTTTTCAGTTCTCAGCGTAATGTGTTCTTTGGTCGTTCTATTTTCTTTTGGCCTCTAGGATTCCGATTAGGGGCTTGCCTTGTGACGCAATTGGATGTTTTCCTCAATGTGTGTCCTAGCCAGTTCTAGCGTTTCTTCCCGATTTCCTCCCCCGCTGGGATCTGGTTTGTTCTCTTCCATAGTAGGTTGTTCGTGAAAGTGTCTGGCCAGCGTATTCGAAGTATTTTGCTTAGACAACTTTGATTCTACTGTCCAATATATTTATAAAGATTATTGAAAGTTAAGCTTTTGCAGATGTTTCTTAATTTCTTTATTCTTCATCCAACTCCATCTTCATCAATCCTTTCTAGTTGTCGTCAGTTGCTATGAATTAGTTTCATGTCTGATTCCAACTCCTGAAGCAATATGATCGTTCGTCTTTCTGTTTTCTATTTCCCTTTAAAATTCCAAGTTATCGCTTACCTCGTGACGCGGTTTGACGATTTCCACTTGTAGCTCTTCATATGGTTACTACCGGTTCCATTTGTCAGCAAAATACGCCGATAATATTTAGGGGTGAGGTTAATGTTCTTAATATGGCTCGAAACTTCACAGATAAACCATAATATTCAAGCAAAAAGATGAATGAAATCCAGTCAGAGTGTTTCGTCTTATTTAGGACTCGTCAGTAGGTTATCTTGTCTTGGATTTTACTGTTCAACATGTTTACGAAGATTATTAAGAGTTAAGCTTTTCCAGACGTTTCTTCATTTTTCCTTATTATATCTCGTCAATCATAGCGGGGTATCAAGTTTGGTTAAAACCTTTTGATTGAGACCATGAACCGATTGATGTTAGACCACCATTGGAAACCTGGGAGCACTGAACGACCGTTTCGTCCCATTGTGGGACTCCTCAGCAATGCGCATCCACGATCCCGCTCGTGAGATGAACTGATGAACTGATATTGTGATCGATCTATCATTTTGAAAACGTCCAACTATTACTGATGAAAGTACGTTCAAAATTAAAGAAAGATATTGCTTCAAGGCCATAGGTATAGGATTTTCACGAAGCTTTGAAGATTTAACTGACGAATTAGTAGAAATCAGTATATCCAACCATAAGAAGAAGGTAATATATGTATACTGAACAACGGTGAAAGGTTAAACGGTGATATATAATAAGGATTAATAATGGTACTCATGGAAATAATCCAAAGTTTGTCGGTTAACAGCTAAATAATGATCTGTCATCACTGTAATTTACGTACGCCTGTCACCTATCGTTGAAGAGAATAGGCCACTCACTAACATTCTCTATCCAACTCTGTCAGCGACAATCCTTTCAAGTTATTTCCAGTTGCTATTCATCATTTTTATGTCTACTTCCAATTCTCAAGGCATTGTGTTTTTGGTCTTCCTCTTTTCCGTTCCTCTTCAGGATTCTATGTTATCTTAGTTTGATGATTTCCACCTGTAGTTCTTTTAGGGTTACTATCAATCCCAAGCCCCGATAAAGTAAGAAGGTTGGGCATGATGTCAACAACACCAACCCTTAGAAACTAATGTCACCAGAAGACGCTAACCAGAATAAATCATCAAAGTTAAACTAATATAAAGAGTATGATTGGTCATTTGTATTTTTAATGCTCATAACTAATAACTTCACGATATTTCTTGAATGGATCATGTATCTCACATTGTTAATCCCACTTTTAGTTTGATTTTACTAACGGCGTAATATAAAGTCAGATACAATGAACTTTTGTATATTCATCCATTTCATATGTAAGCACGGATTCAAAAAGTTCGTTTGGCTTTTGTCAACTTACGTCACCTATGGCGAAGGCGAGATATCCGTCTATCAATAAGAGGACGAGTATACTGTGCTGAAGTTCATTCTGTTTTATTTTACGGCAGCAAAATATGGCCATTAAGCGTAGAAGATACTCGTAAGCTACTAGTGTTTGACCATAGACGCCTTAGAAATATTGCTGGCATCTTCTGGGATCACCGGGTAAGTAATGGTGAGGTTAGATGCAGGGTATTAGGGAATGATGGTTAATCAGTTGATGAGGTTGTGAATCTTCATCCACTGAGATGGTTGGGCCACGTGTTACATATGCCTGAACACCGATTACAACGACGGGCAATGCTAACCGGAAGAAAGTTAGGGGCGACCAAACCAAAACGTGGCATCAGTGCTTGAAGTCACTAACTTCTAGTCTGAGCCATGTTGGCAGATACAGACTACCTGGTTGGGGTCCGCGTGACTATCATAACCAATGGTTGGAGAATGTGGGTGACATGGTTCAGAACCGATAACAATTGCGTTGGTTTGTGAACTCTCTGTCTTCTCTTAAACTAAGAGATTAAAATCGCTTCATATCCTTCTTTCTACCAACTAATTCTTCCTTATATATAATCTTTCTTTTATATATTACCACCTCTGAATTAACTACTTTTATGGATCCGTTGTTCATCTTGTTGCGTTAATGAGGTATAGCAACTTGGACCGATGCATATATGTGCCTGGTCCTACATTGTAGCTGACTAACTGACTGATATATGTGTACTAGTTAAATGTTATACAACATTAATTCGTTTTATAGTTGAATTCATGAGTCAATTAAAACTAGACTAATATAGAATCCCTGGAAATACTGAACGGCCGTTTCGTCCTGGTATGAGTTCAGTGATCTAAAGGTTAAGTGTTCAAGCGCGAGACTGATAGGAACTGGGTTCGAATCTCGCGGGGCGGGAACATAGATGCGCACTACTGAGGAGTTCCATATTAGAATGAAACGGTCGTCCAGTTCTTCCAGGTTTTCTATAGTGATCTAGCTTCAATTTTTTCATGAATTCAACTATGAAATTAATAAAATCTTCACAAGATCCCTTCTGATTTTAATTAATTAATCAATAAGTAGTAAACATTGTAATGTTTTTTGGCATTTACTATCAGTCTAAACGACTCAATATCACTTGTACCAGGTTTATGTGTTAAGTGGTTGGAGTTAATTGACAACAACTAGACAACAACTAGAAGATCGCTTCATCCTTTTTGTAGAACCCTTCAACAATATTAATAGGTTCTGGGTTCGAATGCCTGCGAGGCAAGATCATCAATGTGCAAGGCAAAAGAGTTTTGTTCTCTGAGCTGGATGGTTTGGTCGTGGAGCTTTCATCGTTCTCCTGAACGACATCATCATCAGCATAAACTTCAGGTAGAAGTGAAGTGTTTGAATTTCTTCTGAAGTCTGTGCTGCTGATGATGTCGTTCAGAAGAACGATGAAAGCTCCACGAACTAACCATCCAGCTCAGAGAACAAAACTCCACAAAAATCATCCACCTGAGTCACAAATCTTCTTCATTGTTAAAGAGTTCTTAATTTACTTCAATATGAAACTATTCCCTCCATGATATAACAAATAATAAGCCACTCATTAATAGACCATACTTTCATACTTTGATACTTTCTTCCGTACTATTCATAGAATCAATTTAATGATTACTATAAATAGTAGTTAAATATATGGAACTAAATAGATCATCTTTTCAATGATTGATCAACATAGTTTCAATTGGTAAACATAGTAACTATAAATCTAGTTCTTTTTTTCATTGTGATCTTATGATACATTGTGATTGACAATGGTTACAAAATAATCAATAATGGTAACATAAAAATCAATAAATTTTTTTATTTTTTTTCTAAAATGAAAATATTCCTTCTGTTAATAGAATGGAGGCAATCAAATATACCTGGATACAAGATTACAGTTAAATATGAGAATCATACAGTAAATACTTCATTGGTATAACGTCAATCAATTGTTTCTGACTTATGTGTTCTTTCGTTACCATACCAATCCTTCTCTGTTCTCGTTCTCTTCTTATTGATCTTTTTTAACCTTGTATTACCAGGCATTACATTTTCGATTGATAATAAATACTACTTATATCTAATTAGCATCAGTAGTACACACTACAATCTACTAAGTGTTCTTGTTATTCAATGATTTTTTATTTATATCAAGTGGGTTTTTTGTGAAGATTATAGTCATTTCAATGGTTAAAATCCTAATGTGGGACTCCTCAGCAGTGCGCATCCACGACCTCGCCCCCTAAGAGGTTCGAACCCAGGACCTACTGGTATCGCACGCGAGCACTTAGCCACTAAGAACACTGAGAAGTAGTGACCAGTGGAGTTCAAGCAGGTCTGTTGTGAGATAGTAACTCACTGAAGACAACGGTGAATGTGTCA